TGTTGTTTGTATATCTGGAGTGTTAGGGTTATCCCCTAACCCTGGAGTGAAAATAATTTCTTTATTTCTTATTAAAGTATTTCTGATTCTGATTCTGATATCTGATATTCACATTTTTGACAAAAAGTGGCAACCATTTGTTCCACCGTGAACTGTAAAACCAGATACGTTAATTTAACAAAAAAATTGGTGAAACTAATCACATCGAATAATTTTAGGAAAAAATGAAAAACTTTCTTTTTTAAAGTGACAATTAGTTTTTTAATTTTTATTTGTACTGTGAAAACAAAATACCCCAGAAAATCTTAAATTAGTGTCACTTAAAATTAATATCTTATCTTTTTTACAAAATTGAGTTTGTGTTAGTTAAAGGTTTCAACAATTATTTGGAGTTAAAATAAGTGTGTAAAGACCTCGATGCCTCTGGAAACAACCCCAATGTGTTCACCGGTCGTCCGCCAACAGAAGGTTAAAAGTGACCTTTACAATATAATCTCATTTTACAATCCTCGTATCAGAACACTAAACATTTTAACAATCATGTACATTTATTCACATATCTGCACAAAATACAAATATATATTTATTTACTGTCTCTGTATCTGCAGAGCATTTTCAGACATCATATTTATTCTCCTGCAGGAGCTTTACTGTCCTCCATTTTGGCATCTTTACCTGCGAGAGTCTGAAGTCCCGGCGTGTCGGGCTCATTCTGGATCGCCCTCCCCAACACAAACATCTTATAAAGTGGCAGGAAATCCAGTCTCATCCCTGCTGATCCACCCAAAGGTGTGACGGGAGGTAGATGCCCCCCCGACTGATGCCAGGGAGCCAGAGGAATGAGGGAGTAGCCGAGGTCACTGCAGCCGAGCATCCGAGGAAAATGAAATAATGATAAGTTTTTTACCCTTTAGTTCAAAGAGTTTGTTACACAACGAGTAAATCTGTCACTTGACACAACTAGTGTCTCACATCATTTACACAGACTGTCCCTGCTCCTGGTCTCAACTTACTCAGGCTGGAAGATAAACTCTTTAAAAAGTGGAAAATTAAATTAATTTAATTTCATTTGCGTGGAGAAGGATCTGAAACAGACCAGAAATAATCCATGAAGCAATGGTTTGTGGGTAACTGGTTGATTCAGCTCAATGCAAAGATTTATCAATATTTTTAATTGTCTGGGAACCCCCTTTTTCACCAACGCCAACCTAGTTCTGGTCTGGTTTAAATTAAGAATCTTCTAAGAACCGGTTTGATTTTCCACGAGTTGGAGAGCCACGATACAGTCACTGTATCTCTAACGTTAGCTGTTTTTACCAAGGTTACGCTACCTGGCTGGCTGTTTGGGTAATGTTAGCTGACCAACTGCTAGCTACCTAGCTAACATAACAGCTAATAAATACATTTTTTAAATATTTAATATATTTATTTAAAGATGGACAACTTGACAGCTCTCTCCGTTTCCCCCTGGTGGCTGACTGCAGAATAGCTCATAAAGAGGGTTTCTGTAATTTCAGGTCCTTCTTATCACGCTGAAGTGTTCATTTTATCATCAGTTTGGATTTAATTCGTTTTTAAAGAATATAAAAGGGGGGTTTCACATCATGATTAACAGCTGAGCCCTGCTCGCCACTGAGTCGGCCGGTGTTCGACCTTAATACCACGGCGCCGACCTCGATCACTACTGCACAGACTCCGAAAGGTGAAAGGTGGCAGCATCCGTATCGAGATATTCTGGTTCATTAGTACAGTGGGAGGAAGTGGAGACAGCCATCTGGTGCTGCACTGGAACCAGTTTTCCTGTCCGAGAGCTGGTTCCAGATTAGGCTCCGAACCAGCACTCTTGGTGGAAAAGGTGTAGGCACTTTGTCTTTGGCACTTCCTCAACCTCAAACCATCGATCCTCGTGTGACCACAGTTTGATCCAATCTGTGAGTTCGTTCACACGCAGCTCTCGTCCTTGTCTCTGTGTCTTTTATCCGGCCGACACATCTCCGTTTCCTGTCCAGGTAAAGAAAAGTCCTTCACCTCGCCACTAGAGTGCGCATCTCCATTTCGTATCTTCTCAACGTTGCCCAGAGGCAGCTGGGTGGAGCTGTAGGCCAGCGGCGGGATGGTGTTCACCAGTATGAGCTGGAGAGGCTTCTTCTCCGGCTGGTATTGGCAGCGAACGTAGCGCAGGAACGCTGCTCGGTATGTTTTATTGAACAGCGTGTAGACCAACGGGTTCACGGCGGAGGACAAGTACCCCACCCAGACGAAAACGTTCAGCAGGCCTCCCATGAGTCCTGCATCACACACCACTGGGTTGCACACCACCACCAGCACGTTGGTGATGAAGAACGGGCACCACATGACCACAAAGAGAAGAAACACCACCCCGAGGACTTTGGACGCTTTCTGCTCGTTGCTGATGGACTGCATGGTGCGGCGTCCGAACAGTGAGCCGGAAACGCTCCCGCGGGCGCCTCCCAGCCCACTGCTGCTCCCTCTGCCACCGGCCTCGCGGCTTATGGAGCGCCTGAAGAGTTTCTCTGAGGACAGCGAGGTTTGCGGTAAGAAGCTCAGGGTGAAAGTCGTGCTCCATTTGGGGCGCGGGACCAGCTGGTCCAAGCAGAGGGTGGCTTCGTTCTGCAGCGCGTTGATGGTCAGGAAGTAGGTGACGACCATGATGGTGAGGGGCACGAAGAACGCCACGAAGGAGCCGACCAGCACAAAGTTGTTATCCGTCAGCAGGCAGCTGCCATCTTTGAAGACCTTGGAGTGGTCTCGGAGTCCGAGCACGGGAATCGGCATGGAGATCCCTGCGGAGAGGAAGCAGGACATTAAAACATGGAAGAATCTGTGAGAGTCAGTAAATATTTGTGGTTGTTTGTGTAAGAGATTAGAAACAGTTGGAGAGATTGTCTGCAGCAACAGTGTGAAATCCCTCCATTGCAAATACAGTAGAAGAACTACGGAAGCCCTAGAAGGCAAGTTTCTTTCAGTTTTTGGTTTTTGGTCTATTAAACAAGTGAAACGTTATCTTATTGTTGTAACTTTCATTTCGACCAGAAGAAGCTGCAGTGAATTAAATTAAAATACATTTCTAGCCAAAATAAAGATGTGACAGTTACACTTGCTAACAGACAATATGTACATTGTGTTTAGAGTTAAATTAAAAGTATTATTTCATCTGTTTTCACTAATAAATCAATAAGAAATAACTTTCGTCTTTCAGGGCCTCCATATATTTCAGATTATTATCAACAAAATGTTAAGCAAGGACTAGTTGTTGACAACTTGTTTATGATGTTTCCGATGTAAAGCACCAGTGTAAACAGACCAAACTCAAGTACAACAGTTTAATCAATAACGGCATTAAAACAAACATTAACTGCTGATAAATATGGAATATAAAATATGTTTGTTTCCTGTGTCTATGAACGCTCTTTGTGTTAAATCATGTAGACATTTAATCAGTGCAGACAATAAGTAACCAGTAATTACACAACTAATTGCACTAATGCAGCCAACAATAATTCATACTATGTAAACCGCTCACATGTGAATAATTTAATATTAATACAACAACAAAGAGAAATAATAATCAGGAATAAAAACAGTTTAATAAGAATATATCAGACAACACTACAGCCATGCTAGTGTAAGCTAACATTATCCAGCTAACAGCACAATCAGACAATATGTTTCACTAACTTAGCAATAATGTTAGCTTTGACTTTGGACTTTGTGTTGGACTCTGTGCTGTGGTGGGTGTTGGCCGTTTGTAGGCGTTAACGGACTCCACTCACACTGACTCACACACACTGATCAATACATACAAATAATAGAGAAAATGCTGCATTGCACCTTTTACAGCCTCCTCATTACGGCTGCAAACCTACAAAATGACATTTTGCTGGAATCCTTCCATCCTTTGGTGAGATCCAACCGCGGTGTAACCTCGAGCGCTCTGTCAGGTTGTTATTTGACATTTTTAAACGTGTCAAATTTTCCATTAAGTCTGGTGCTAAAACTCTATTTTACCGTGTCTATGTATCGGTGTGGGAGGTTGTCAGCAGCCTCAGTGGGTCTGAGGTCTGCAGTTACAGCTCAACTCATATTAATGTACTTTCTATAAATATAATAATATCTCTATTAAAGCTGGAGGCAGGAAATAGGGTGTTGGGGGTGAAATATGCTGCTTATAATTGATCTTCCTCAGCCTAAATTCACATTTTTGTTGTCCTCCTCTGCAATTACAATAAATCTAATAAAAACTGTCCTGAAAGAAGTTTTGGATGAGCTGGATCCATATCAGCAGCAAACTGGATGGGAGGAGATAAACTGAGCACTCTTCCTCATGCAGGGTTCTCATTACCTGCTCCTCACAAACAGGAGGACAGAGGTAGAGCGGGGAGAGGAAGAGGAGGAGGAGGAAGAGGAGGAGGAGGAGGAAGAGGAAGAGGTTGAGGGCTGACAGACAGGAATAGCTGCTGCGTGTCGGTAGCAGAGGGCCAGTGAATGTTTCTCAGACAAATAAACATAAAGACAATATTCATTTTCACACAAAGAAATGATTGATCCTGTAAATTATCAATAAAGCAATAATTAATGTAATAATAATAATTATAATGTAATAATAATTTAATAATATTAATAATGTAATAATAATGTAATACTAATAATAATAATGATAATAATGTAATAATAATGTAATACTAATAATAATGATAATAATGTAATAATAATAATAATAATAATAATGTTATGATAATGTAATTAATAGACAGACTCCGCCCACATTGTTTGATTGACAAGTGAGAGCTGTCTGGGTCTCCATGGTGATCAGTGTGGGTGTGTGTGTTTAAATATCAGCTGTTCACATGTTGTTTGTTTGTGGAGGTGATGCTGTTGATGCGGCAGTAAACCCCCCCACCCCACACTCACACACACACACACACACACACACAGAATCCAGAAATCAAAAGCTGGTTTGTGGTCTTCCTCCCGCTCTCCCTGATGGCAACCCTCTGCTCCAAATACATGAAATCAGAGACGGGAGAGGAAGAGGCTCGACAGACGAGGGAGATAAAAGGGGATCAGGAGAGAGAAAACAGAGGAGGGAGAAACTTCAGACACAGAGGAGGAGAGAGAGGAGAGACTTTCAGAATAACACTGATCCAACAGTCAATAAACTCTCAGCTTTAACATGAAGTGTTTCATTATCAATATTCTGTCCCAGCTGTTGGACCCAGTGTGGCTCTGCAGAGGTTCAGGTTAGTGTGACCATCAACGTTCATTCATTCAGAGCTCAGACACACACAGTGGAAATGGTGTTAATGTGAAGATATGAGCTTTGGCAGAGACAGAATTCATACAATATTCAAAGCTTTCTGGCCGACAGTAAACTATGTGCAATATATGAACCCATGATGTTACAGCAGGCACCGACCTTTAACCAGGGCACACACACACACACACATACCACCCAAAGAACATTTTAGACTTAGACTTAGACAGACTTAGGCAGACTTTATTTGTCATTTGGATTTTACTGAGTTGTCCTAAAACAGCAGCAGATCAACTGATTATTAAAATATATTTAAACTGCAGCTGTTTAATAAAGTTATTCTAAACATTTGAAAAGATCTTCCCAACTCACATAATCCATCTTTCTGACTGTAGATAATAACAGCAGTGAGACTCAGACTGAGTGGATCATAATCAGTAAGACGTGAGCGCCACTAAACTCTAAAACACTGATCAATACTGAACATCCATCCAGGACTTTTCTGCCTAACATCAGATTTCTCTGCATCCTTTCTGGAGAACTGAACTGATGCAGGTTTGTGACGTTACTGTCAGTGTGAGGACGTTACTGTCAGTGTGAGGACGTTAATGTCACTACGTGGACGTTACTGTCAGTGTGAGGACGTTACTGTCAGTGTGAGGACGTTAATGTCACTACGAGGACGTTACTGTCAGTGTGAGGACGTTAATGTTACTACGTGGACGTTACTGTCAGTGTGAGGACGTTACTGTCAGTGTGAGGACGTTAATGTCACTACGTGGACGTTACTGTCAGTGTGAGGACGTTAATGTCACTAGGTGGACGTTACTGTCAGTGTGAGGACGTTAATGTCACTATGAGGACGTTACTGTCAGTGTGAGGACGTTA